TTTTTTTTTTTTTTTTTTTTTTTTGAACTTTGCAATTATACTGTATGTCCAAGGACTGAGTATAGCTTTATTATTCTGTTATAGCAAGGTCTTTATGATTGGATCTCCCTTTGAAGTTTCTTGAGAGGACCTTTTTAATAGGAGTCTGACTAGAAGTAAGCACAGCCAAACTTTGAGTCATGCTTCCCTGAAGGCAGTTAACAGTTTGACCTGATTTCCTGTTCTTTGAAACTAAAGTTCAGGCGGTGGTCAGGATAACAACAAAGAATACAAATGTTACCACCAATTACGATTGCATGTGCATATAACTGTAAATCCTGCTGATGAAATATATATTTAGATTCTGTGATGTGCCTATAATTGAAATTAAAACTGCAGGAGGAAATCAGTGCACATGTTGCGCTCCCCCCCAAGTTTAACTGTTAGAAGGAGCTTTCATTCCCAGATTACACATACAAAGAATTAAAAGAGCACTAGCCTTTATGCAAGTTCCAGTGGCATCGGACTGATCACCCAAGACTAAATTACACTGTGGCAAGAGGTAAAATAAGAGCCGGGTTGACAGATGGACAGGATTTTTGAGCAGTGAGTGAGTAGAGCAGACAGATCATAATTCAGTTGGGAGGTTGTGATATGAGCCAGAGAAAAGATTAGTTTTCAGCTTGCAGAGGCAGAATGACACAGTATTTCACCTCAGGGTTAATGTTTACCTAGCAGCGTTCTGTCCTCAACGACCTCGTAGTGCTCCTCCTCCTATCGGTCCATTTGAGGGCCTCTTATGGTTGACCTTGGACCCAAGTTGGAAACGTCATTAGTCAAGGGAGACGGGAATAATAAACAGATTTTAAATACTGTATACAAATGAAAAACACTGAGCTTTTTCTGTATGTCGTGTTTACTACCCCAGCTTTTGAGAGTTGTCTTGGATTACTTTTAGATACTTTAAAATATATAACATATATAAAGGCAACTACTGGGTTTGTGTCTCCTTGTAATTTTTGTTTCTTTCCTCCTTGTATTTTAGCAGAAGGTGTGCCTCAGGTGTTTTACTTTGGGCCCTGTGGGAAGTACAATGCCATGGTACTGGAGCTGCTTGGCCCAAGTCTAGAAGACCTCTTTGACCTGTGCGACCGGACCTTTTCACTGAAGACCGTCTTAATGATAGCAATTCAGTTGGTGGGTTTGGAGCTTTGTATGACACCATCACAAAAACTTCTACTCACTTACTATGACTGATGAAATCAAATACATTGAACATAAAAACTCTGTGAAATTTCTATGAAATGGTTCAAATCACCATCAGCCTATATGCAGAAATGGCACAAAACTATTTGCTACTTAATATAGTAGCTGGAGTTAGACTAACAAGTTCATAATCAAAAAATAAAATGTTTACTGTAGTTTAACAATTTGCATGGCAAGTTCAGCACAATTTACATTTCCAGTTAATGACATATTTTCAGTAAATTCCATTTTCATACTATAGGAATGAACCCTTGTTTCAAAAACTATCCTGGCTGGAGATTTCAGAGGGAGTTTAAGTGTTAATCCACCAAGCCTTTACATTTTATAGTATGCTCCAGAATTCCCAGTACAAAATGATTCTTATTGAGTAAACTGTCCATATAGCTGATTTTACAAGTCTTGCCTGAATACCTGAGGTTCTTGGAGCTTGTGGAGAGTGACTCTCCTATTACCTAGTATGCAAATTAGCAATCTGTTAGTATATGCGTTCTTCTGGGCAGATTTGGGTAGACTGGAAGCTGTCGTGAAGCGCAAAGCCACCACTGATTCACATCAAGTCTGAGCAGCTCAGAGGGTGTAATAACCCAGTCTTTGAGGCGCCTTATGCACATCAAAATTTCTGACGTTTCATTTTGTCAGCACAAAAACTGCAGTGCTCTTGTAATATAGATATCCTCTGAAAAAAATGTAAAGACCTCCATAGAAGCTCAGCACAGAGGTTTCCTAAAGACTGCATCGCAGCCACCTCACATTATGAATTTATTATGTTGCTCACCTTTAATTTTTTTTCCTAAAAAAGACAGTGATTACACTGTAAGTGCAACAAGTTAGCCTTAAGTGTAAAAAAGTTGTCGTGCTTTTTTTCTTTTAATAAACCATAATGCTGAAATTCATTATAACTGAGAAAATAATGTCAACTTGGTTCAGCAGAAAAACCCATTTTCAATAACTGTGACTCTGATTTAGTGGCCAATCATTTACCATGACTGATGTGTTCTTCATCACCAGATTTCACGAATGGAGTATGTGCACTCTAAAAATCTCATCTATAGAGATGTAAAGCCCGAAAACTTTCTCATTGGACGGCAAGGAAATAAAAAGGAACACATCATTCACATCATTGACTTTGGCCTGGCCAAAGAGTACATCGACCCCGAGACCAAAAAACACATTCCCTACCGGGAGCACAAGAGCTTAACTGGTACTGCGCGATATATGTCCATCAATACACACTTAGGCAAAGGTAAGAATGATTTTATTGTTGTTGTTCTGGGACGTCTGTTTGTAAAACGGATGCTTTGGGACATAGTTGTTGAATTGTGTCAGTGAGATGTTAACATATCTATTGATACAGAGCAAAGTCGACGAGATGACCTGGAGGCTCTGGGCCACATGTTCATGTATTTTCTTCGTGGGAGTCTACCTTGGCAAGGGCTAAAGGTATGTAAAGTATATTGACAGTTTCCGAGATTCTTTCATCAGGACTCTAGTCATTGTATAACCTTAAATTCTAACACACTCTGAGTTGCTGGGCAATTTATATTATTTACCCATCAGTAGCTGCGGCATGTGCTGAAAGTCTGTTCAATATGACTGAGAAAATGTACTTCTGAAGACTTCAGCTTTCATTGTGTTTATCTCTCCATTGGCACATTTAAGTCTTTCTTAATGAATATTTAAAAAAAAAAAGACTAAACAAAGGTTACAGTTGAAAATGAACCAGCTGTTATTTTGTGCTCACAGTTCAAAATTCATAATCTTTAGAAGCTTTTCTTCAGGCTAATGTGTACAGAGTGGTGCAGTTGGTTGTTAATTGAAGCAGTAAGCTTCCTATTCCTCTTTGCTTACTACTCTGAATCCTTTCTGCTTAACCACCTGAAAATCTCCCAGAAAGTTGATTCTGTTCATCACTTGACAAAAACGTTTCTCCCACTGAAAACGCTACTTCCAGATGAACAGAATCAGCTTTCTGAGATTTCCTTACTTTGATTGAACATGCAACAAGAAACCTCAAATCAGTGGTTCCTGAACTTGTTTTGCTAGGCCCCCCTTTGTTTTACAAGAAAAATGCCCCGCCCCCCACGCAAGCACGCACGCACACGCACAAACACATCCTCCAACCACACACACCCTTATTTTGCTCCATTGCGGTTTATTTCACACCTCAAACATTAAGTAAACAATTAAAAATTACAGGTAGTAATAAAATAAACTACTACTTTTACGCTACGTCCACACCTACACGGGTATTTTTGAAAACGCAGCTGTTTCGTCCACACGTAAACGGCGTTTCGAATCACCGAAAACTGAGATTTTTAAAACTCCTTTTGTGTTTACGTGTGGACGAGGAATACAGAGTTGGTCACACAATGTCAAAGGTCTGTGCCTTTTTTCATGTCACGCTGTGCACCACGTTATTGTTTAAATGAGATGAATTACAGAATGGCAGATAGTCAGATTAACAGTATTTTGTCTCTATCTGCAGGTTTTACACGCTTACATATACACACGCAGTTACTGTCCCTCCATTTACAAAGGCAGAGGTGTCACTGTGTGATTATTTTACGTGTAGTTGTTTTTTTCCCTGTGTAATAATATTCAACATTGCTGACAATACATTTTTCAAAAAATGCCTCTCTGTACAAAATGGGTTTAAAAACATATACAGGTGTGGGATACTGTTAGTCCGTGATTTGAACCGAGGGAACAAATCGTTGCAGGATCAGCCTGATGTTATTTGTATCCCGCTGTAACTTTACTGTATAAAGATCTAACATCTCCAAAATGTCAGGAGTAGTTAGTTACAACAAGTGTGTGTGTGTGTGTGTGTTTGTGAATTAAAAACCAAGAATGTGGGATACTGTTTGTCCGTGATTTGAAGAGCCCAGCGCTGCTCCCGATGAAGGGAAAACCAATTCTGCAGGGGAGACCTACCTTGGCACTTGTGCAGGTGAAGCCAAAGGGAAGATATGCTTCACCATATTTTCTAGTCTTTGGCTCAGAATGAAGTTGGTTTGGAAACATATTCAGCGATGCTTCATCTCCTGCTTTGCGTTTGTGTGGGCGCCCCGTGCTAGCAGTGTCCAAGCATTTCCCCCCCCGCTTTTCATACCGTGCCCCCCCTGCAATGGCTCTGCGCCCCCCCTCAGGGGGCGGCCCTAAAGTGATCAGTAGTATCATGCTGTGTCTTTGTGAAACACATAATACTCCAGTCATGGAAGCTCAGTTGATTTTTCAGAGAGAGCGTTTACTTCAGACACATTAAACAAGAAAAAACACTTTGCTTTGAATCTTTTTCAGGCTGACACACTCAAAGAAAGATACCAGAAGATTGGAGACACAAAACGAAACACTCCCATCGAGGTCCTCTGTGAGAACTTTCCAGGTATGCTATAGATGGCTGTAATCTCACTTTTGGATCAGCTTGTGAGCCTTGATAGTGTGAATACTGGCTGTGATGTAACGTGATTTTTCAGATAAAATGATTTAAATGTCGTCCCACTGCACAATTCGTACGGATTTATCCTCATGAAAGGTGAGAACATTCTTGTTGGTTCTGTGTAATACAGAGGAGATGGCCACCTACTTGCGATATGTGAGGCGGTTGGACTTCTTTGAAAAGCCAGACTATGAATATTTGAGGACTTTGTTCACGGAACTGTTTGAGAGAAAAGGATACACCTTTGACTACACCTACGACTGGGTTGGCAGGCAGATTGTGAGTAACGGATCACATTTTACATGTCAGTAATTTCACCTGTTTGACTGCAGAGCTGAATTCATTGTTATTCCCCTCAGCCCACACCGGTGGGGTCTGTCCATATAGACTCTGGAGCATCTGCAGTCACGAGAGAGAGCCATCCTCACAGAGACCGACCCTCACAGCACCCACCAATCAGAAACCAGGTACGTCCGGTTGAGCAATGGGGACCAGACTGCTTCTTGCCATGCTGTGGTCCAGTGGACCCATGGTGCATTACAGCCTGAAACTCCCTTTACTCTCTGTATGATGATCTCTTTGCCAAGCAAAGCTTATGTGCATGCAGTGACAATAGGATGTGCTATGCAAGTATTCTTTTGAACATCTCTGTATATTTAAATGCTGGAAAATTCGTTTTAAGGCATCAGGGCAAATTTATCCCAGTCATCTTTGCCTTCGTGTTTTTGGATTTACTGTGCGCTTTAGATATTGTAGATAAACTTTTGGCAAGTGTTTAAGACCATAAATTAAATTAAACTAAATTCTGGTAATTAAAAGCAGCCCACAAAGATGAAGGCTGACTGAAATAAAGCTTTGTAATCATTCACATATTCTACAGTGTAGAATAGAGGCACTTAGGGATAACTTTTTTGGGTATATATGGGTTTTGTGCCCATGTTGTCAGTGCACCTGCTTTTCGATGCTATTTGGGTGCTTTAAATGCAAATTTCAGAGCCAGGGTTGAATTGTCGCAGTCTATGCTACAAATGAAGGACTTGAATAGCTGTTAGTTAGTCTGGTTGAATTTGATCTACAGTTTTGCGTGTGTAAACACATTTGCTTTGAATCCAATTTAATTCATTGCTGGTATGAAGATGAGCTGGAAAATAAATTGCTGGCTTTATAAAGCTCTGAGCATTTAAATAGGTTACTTGTTAGTGGTTCATGCTTATTTTTTTGTTATTCAGGTGTAATGAGATTGAGGCCAAAGTTTGAGACCTGTGAGCTTAACTCCATTAGGCTTCAGGCTCATTAGTTTCTGATTCAGTTTTATGGCTGAAGCCTTGCTATGATTTTGATTCACTTTTTTTTTTTCAATTTTGTTCATTTATTTATTTTTTCTTCTCCATATCTCATGCTGCTTTGCATGGTTACCTTGCCTCGCACACCCAAATATCCATCTTTCCTTCACCCCCCTCCCCTTCCCATTGCACTTTCAAACCCACTTCCCTTCACATCACCGACGCCACCCCCGATTCCTAAGCAGACAGCAGCCTCAGATCGACGAGGAGCATGGGAGGTGCAGCCCGCACGCCAAGCAAACTCCTCCTATCTGACCTCCCACCTGACAGCGGACAGGCACGGGGGCTCAGTGCAGGTATACACCCCTCACCTGATCAACCGGCAGCCCCCACCCAATCTCCATGGAGTCAGATCTGTCTCAAATAATCCAAACAAAGATAAATACACTCATAATATGGCTTGTAAATGGAAGGGAAAGACGCAAAGGCATTTTTGTGACACAATTTGTTTTCCCCCCCGCTTGGGGAAACGATATATTTTCAAGGGATTAGTCTTATTTTGAGACAAATATTTTATTTGCGAGTTAAACAACTATGAATACTTAGGAAACTCGTGTTTAGCAAAGTACTCAAGCATTTAATTCATATTATTTTGCAAATAATTTTGCTACTGAACTGGCATTTTATTCATCTTCATTATCTAAAAGCTCATAATAATCACAAAACACTGATATAGTTACTAATGCTTTATGCCAGACATGAATTGCATTTATTAAGTGTTTTAGCTTCATGTGTGAGACAGATCTACAACCATATACCTCCCCCCCCCTCCAACCCTTTTGCCCCTGGCTGGGAAATGTTAATTTTCTGCTCCACCATATGCATGTCATCTGGTGCTACCCACCCCAGATGGTGAAAGTGTGATTTAGCTTTATAAACAGCAGCCCTTCTTGGGGCATTTTGATCTCCGGTCCTACAACTCTTCATGATGCTTGGACATTCTTTGCAAGATCAAGAAGCCTTCTGCATGGCAGAACGACCTGGCATAGCTAGCTAATTGCATGCTTCTAAACCATTATAGGCCTTTATGCTTAAAGGAACATATTTTAGTAATTTTGTCTCCTAGCCCATTCCAAAGACTGTCTCGGTCTTCAACAGGGTTTGTTTTGCTTCTGGGGATTCCTTTTACTAAATGGCATTCACTTAAAAATAGTTTGGAAATGTAAACATTTTTATACATATATTGTGAAACTAGATCATTCCCTGGAGTGCCATTGGTAGAAGCATGGCACTCTGTGAACACAGTGTGGAGAAAAGGGTGCTGTGACCAACGCAGTGGTCATCAGACTTGGCTTTTTCAGGCTTTATTATATTACACATCAGAATCAGTTATTTAACTCGTTTAAGTATAGATCATTAAAGACTGAAATCTCTCTTGTCCTTTAATGCAAACGCAACTTATTTCCTTTAAGATAACTGCTACACTCTTACAGAAAGATTTTTTATTTATTTATTTTTTTAAATGTTCTTTTTTCCAACATTTCGTACACAATCAGGTGTATTATCCTGATCTACTGATGCGTACATATTCAATCAGGTGAAAGTGTAAGGGGAAGTTGTTGGCTTTTTTTCATCTATTTGGGCAAGTAAACCTGGAAGTTTACAGATAAACACAATTCTTTTCTTTTTTTGTGTTGGGGGGGAAAAAGTCAGCATATCAGCAAGACAGGCTTGGCTTTTAAAGAGGCAGGCAGGGACTTTCTGTTGTGTTTTTTTTCTTTTCTTTTTTTCTTTCTTCCTGTATCATGAAAAAACAAAAGGAAGCCAAGTTAATATCTTTTTTAGCACAAAATGTTTCCTTAAAAGTCATTATACAGCTCAGGAATTCTCTCTCAGTTCAGTGAAGGTAAAAAAAAAAAAAAAAAAAAGACTGAATAGGTGTGCTCGTAATTAGACACTCGTTCAGACATCTGGGATGTGCCTTTCTGGGAAACAGAGACACACTGAGTGGAATTCAAGTTGAGATTTGATTTTACTCGTCTCTATGGTGCCTTGGCTCACATGTGTGAGCAATGCTGCTGACTGATTGCGTATGATAAAGTGAGTCCACAACAAGTGCGTGATGTGAAATGAAATTAAATGTGTGAGTAGACGTACAGTCACATTTAATTTTTTACAGTCTGGCTACACTTTACTACCCCACCATCTGCACTGCTAGTTTGTCTTATCCTATCTGTCCTGTCCTATCCTTTGCATATTCTCCTGTCAGGATTCTTATAAATTCAAACATTTGGGGAAAAAAAGGATGCCTGAATGAGGTGTCTTTTTGTGCCTACTAGGCCCTGGGCCAATCAAAGACAGTAGGAGTAGATGTGTTTGGCACAGACCAAAGAGCTTTTCAGGAGAAGACCCACACACACAGTGTGAAGCATGTCGGTAGATATGGTTTGGGGTTTCTTCCCCAGGGACTAGAAAGCTAATCGATTGAACTATTAATCCTGGAGGTCACCTTTTAACAGTGTAATGATTGTAAGCACACAGCAAATCCACCAAGGCCAAGCAAGAACACATGGAGGGTTATGAGATTGGCTACAATAGTCACATTTCATATATGAAATATGTCTGGACAGTTGCATTCAAGAATGCATACAAGAAATTATTATTTATGCTTAACATCGCAATACTAGCTTGAAACCAAGTGTTTACTTCTCCTCGACAGGAATATTGAGAATTTTCATTGTGGTAGATCAAAGAAGATATGTTTGCTTTCCTAAATATGTCCAAAAAGCCAACAAATCCACTTCACTCCACTTTTCACGATCTATATGTACTCATGAGTGCATGTGGGCGCACACAAACCCATTTTTGTGACAAATAAAAGCATTGCTTCTTTTTACAGGCTCATAAGTTCAAGAATAAATGGCTGCTACTGGCATCTTGATTTTATGATTTGTCCTTCATCTAAACATGGTTTTTTACAGAGCAGGATTACAGTCACAAGGGGTGTGACTTTTTTGTTTTTTTCCTCCCCAGAATTCCTGCTTTATTTTTATTAACTAAGAATTTTGACTTTCATCTCAGAATCCTGATTAGTTCTTCACAGAACTAAAGAAAACGCCAGAGTTCTGAGGCTGAAAAGTAAAAATTCTGATTCTTTTTAGAATTCCGAAAAGGGTGGAAGAGTCATCACCCACGAATACTTATAATAAAAATAATGGGGTTTTTTCTTCAGTGGCCCCAATCCTCTTATGTATGTTTAAGAAGTCATTTTACTCATTTAGTTTTATTTTTAAGTAATGAGTCTATAGGTTTGCTGAATGGATTCCACAAGCAACAGAAAGATGTTGGTGCAGTTTCGCTTTATACCAGGGGTGGGCAATTGATTTTCCCAAGGGGTCACATGATAAACAAAGACTGTTGAGGACTGCACCAATAAGCTGAACTCAGTTCTGCTCAATATTAACTATTTCTTTGTTAGCTTACCAGTGCAGCCCTTCTCAGTAGTCCCAGTTTCTCATGGGCCCTTTGGGGAAAATCAGTTGCCCTCCCCTGTTCTATACAAATCTATTAAAATGAGTTTTCTACATGTAGTTGTAATTGCCCATGTTTGGTGAAGTCTTTACTTTAGTTTCAGGTGTGGTCACTGGTGAGACCTTGCCCTTGTATACTGTAGGGACACAGCTTGTTTGTTGATGGAAAGCTAAACTGGACTACAGCCCTGTATTTACGTGATATTGTAATTACTGCAATCTGAAATTTGCTTGCCTCCCTCCCAACCTGTGCTGTCTTTTGGGATTAAGTTTTGACTCTTGAAAGTCTTTTATTTTTTCTCTCTGGAGCATTTCAACATTCTAACTTTGGTGACTCGTTGCTGTTTTGGGGCAGATATCGATACACACTGATAACAAACAAGACTATGTTTGTATGACTTGAAGCTACAAAATAGTAAAAAAAAATAATTGCAGAACCATTCACAGACTGCAAGCCAGGTTTTTCTTCATGTTGTGGTGTTTTTTTGTTTTGTTTTTTTTGCTGCCACGAAACCAGTTTCTCCCAATACAAGCAAAACTAAATGAACTAGAGTATTTGTGTTAACTTGTTCTTTGTTAACCAGGTAAACTTTCTGTCACAGCAGTATCTGGTTTTTCCATACGTATCTGTTGTGTGGACAAACATAAGTGGTTTAACTGAACTTAACACCAGTCTGTGTCACAGGTGGTCAGTTCAACCAACGGGGAGCTGAATGCAGACGATCCGCTGGCTGTTCATTCCAACGCCCCAATTACAGCTCCGCCAGAGGAGCATCCGCCCGACGAGGCCAAGTATGTGTCATATAGCCACCACGACTCTCTTCCATGTCCATCTGTCGCTTCCTCTCTTTCCCTCTTTCCCTCCCTCTGTCTCCTTTTGCTATCGTCTGGAATTGTGACAGCTCCAGCCACCAGCTGTCATCTTCCACCTGCCCCTCTTATCTGTCTGGGTGTGTGGGTTTACGATCTGCAACCAGTCTCTATATCCCTCAGTGAATTTTCCTTTTCTGTAAAAATAAAAAAAGCCATTGTACAGTACTGTGCAAAAGTAAAAGCCAGCCCTCATTTCTTTAATAGCTCTTTGGAAATCACCCTGGTGGAGGAAAAAAATACAAAACTATTTTATATCTATCAAACTATGTTATCTTTAAGATTTTTCCTAGATTCAACTTAAAATGGAAACAAGTTTTGTTTTTACGATGGGCTGCTAGTAACAATATGCCTAAAGTTCTTTGCAAAGTTGTTTATGTGTAGACACAACACTAGTTCATCCTTTGAGTTAGGTGCCATTTTATCCTTGAGTGATTCATAGGTCAGTGTTAAGTGGTTTAACATACTGAAGAAAAAAAGCAGCCACTGGCCGACAGAATGCCTGGAGAACTATTGCTCAAGAGCTCTTAAAAAATTACAGGAAAGCCTGGCTCCATGGCAGCAAAAAATAAAGAAATGAAGGGTTGCCTCAAGACTTCTGCACAGTACTGTAGATTAACTAATGCACCCCCTCATGCCTGTGCCCAGCCAATCAACCATTAACATAGACTACAATCTCTACAGCACACAAGTACAGTGGGGCAAAAAAGTATTTAGTCAGCCACCGATT